TTCGAACCCTGGTCTGGAAAGATCCCATTCGCCGCGGAGCAACTAAGCCTGTGCGCCACAAATACTGAGCCTGCGCTCTAGAGCCTGTTAGCCACAACTACTGAAGTCCGCGCGCCTAGAGCCGGTGCTCTGCAACAAGAGAAGCCACCTCAATGAGAAGCCCACTCACCTCAACTAGAGAAAGCCTGTGCGTAACAATGAAGGCCCAACGTAGCCAAAACTAATAAGTAAATAAAATTTAAAAAGAAAAAAGCATTCTGAGATAGACGGTTGAAAATATAGTACTATAATTTATTTTAGCAAACACTGCTTACGTTAAGAATGTTTGCAATGACAGAATTTTTTGCCTCGAATCCTTGCCACTAAAACCTAAATGCATGGATATGCATACATTCCTTAAATTCTTATGGACGTTAATAAAGACCTACCTGACAAAGGGCTTGTGTGCAGAATAAGGACTTCCTACAAATCAATAATAAAAAGACCAACACAATGAAAAATGAGCAAAACACTTGAGAACAGTTCACAAAATAAAATGTACAAATGGCTGTTAAACATATTAAAAGATATGTTCAACCTCTTGAGTCATCAGAGAAATGCAAGTTAAAAGCACAGTAAGATAACACTACATATCCACCAAAACTGCTAAAATTGAAGACTGACAACACCAAAGATTGATGAGGATTCAGAGCAACTGGGCCTCTGATAGTTGGCAGTAGGAGGATAAAACGGTACATCCCCTTTGGAGAACTGTCAGTTTCTGATGAAGTTAGACATACATCTATGCCCTATGACCTGGTGACTGTACTCCAAGGTATGGGCCCAAGCAATGAAAGAACGTGTTCACAAAAAAAGATTAGCATGTTTAGAGCAGTTTTATTCAGCCCCCAACTGGGAACAATCCAAATGTCTACCAACAAGAGTGAATAAACAGGCTTGTACAATATACTTCCACTCAGTAAGAAAAAGGAACAGACGACTGACACATGCAACATGAATTTCAAAACCTTATGTTGAAAGAAGGCAGACGCAAAACAAGTGTATACTGTATGATTCCATATACATGAAGCTCAAGAACAAGTACAGGTAATCCATGGCGCTGGTAGTCATCAAGCGGTGGCCTCTGGGGTGAACTACTCTGCAAGGGGGCAGGAGAGAACTGTGGGGGGGATGGAAATGTTTTGTATGCATCTGTCAGGACTTATCAAACTGCCTACTTAAGATGTGGGTATTTTTATTGGATACAAATTACACAATTAAAAAAAACTGAGGAAAAAGGTACCGCTCTTAAGCTGAGTGATGGGCACACAGGTGGTGTTTTTTACCCTATACATATACGCTATATATGCCTCATTCTTTATATCAACAAAAAAATTTTCTTTAAACGTCAATCTTTCCAGGGACTTCCCTGGCGGTCCAGCGGTTAAGGCTCCAAGCTTCCACTGCAAGGAGCACAGGATCGATCCCTGGTCGGGGGAGCTAAGTTCCTGCATGCCTCGCAGAATGGCCAAAAAAAAAAAAAGAGGTCAATCCTTCCACATGTACTTTTCACTGTTTAAATTATAATACTTATAATTCTAACCTTTTGAGCCATTTGATTAATTAGGAATTATTTAAACTTTAAGGTTTGAAAAAGGATTAAAAACAAATTGTGGAAATGCTTCATTTAAAATACAAGACATGACTACCTCATGAGTTTTAAAAGGTCAATTTCCCCTACATAAAAGTTTTGGTTTTTATGTGTCAGAATATCAGAGATAGAATAAAAAAATATTGCTTTTTGGATAACTAAGAAAAATACATATTTAGCATTGCTCAATTTCTAGAATAACTCTATAATTCCTCAGTCTGTTAAAATGAGCTTCAGGGGATCTTTGCTTGAGATTTTTTTTTTTTTTTTTGCGGTACACGGGCCTCTCACTGTTGTGGCCTCTCCCGTTGCGGAGCACAGGCTCCAGACGCGCAGGCTCACGGGCCCAGCTGCTCCGCGGCATGTGGGATCTTCCCGGACCGGGGCACTAACCCGTGTCCCCTGCATCGGCAGGCAGACTCTCAACCACTGCGCCACCAGGGAAGCCCTGCTTGAGATTTTTATAGTTAAGTCTGCAGCATTTCTAATACTTAAACCTCATTTTCGAGACCTCATTTCCTGAATAGACTTGAGCTCAAAAGGCTAATTCTTCAGAGGTTGTTTCTCCAAAATGAGTATTTTGCAATTTTGCCTGCTGCCCAAGTAAACACTGGTGTTGGGCTTGGAGTCACGTGGGAGTGGAAAATTAAAAAAAAAAACACTTAACACATTTCACTCTTATTTTTTCTATAAAAATATAACTCTTTATTAAATAACATGCACAAATATCTAGTCATTTATTAAACAGATATGATTTAGAACAAGATTTAAAGAAATACAAATCCTCAGGTACAATTTAGTATCTTGTTCATGATATTTGAATAGTTAAAAAAAAAAAATCACTGATTAAACTAACCATCCTTTATTTCTCTTTCAGAATCCTATATCTTTTTAGGCATATACCCCATTCCAAGTTTTTTTCTAGCATTTTAGAGCTTCAGAATAATCTTTAATATCAAGAGCCCTTAACTTACTTACTTAAGTATAAATTCCCATGGAGAAGGCATTCACTTTTTTTTTTTTTTTAAGCTATCCCGATTAGCTTCGAATGAGTCACTTTACAAAGGGAATCTGCAGAAGCAGCATCATGGCAGACAGGCTCCAGCAACTTGAGGTACCACTGAACAGGGTGAGAACTGTGGTTAGTACTAAAAAGCTGGGATGACTAAAATATGCCAGATTTCTGCTTGCTTGGTTTTTCTCTTCTGCAGCTTGTTCTGTTTGGCCAAACAGTGATTTTTTTTCCGCACCCGCTTCTCTGGTTGAACCATCAGAACAAACTGCTGTATAAACTTACCCTTCTCATATTTTCTATGATTTCAATGCTCAATAATCTGTTTTTTTATTTTTAGGCAAAAGTATAAACAAAATTTGCATTAAGTTTTTCATATTAAAAAGTATTGCTTTTATAAATTAGTTTTTAATGTTCCCAGCCTTAATAAACTTAACTTCAACAAAACCAGTGCTTCAAAATCTACCCTGCCTTTCTTGGCCCCATTTATCCAATAAAAAAGGCCAAAATCTTTCATCTAAATTTCTAAAGACTACTACATCCAATCTTTATAATAAAGTCCTTGCACTGTGCATTTTTCACACGTGCTGCTTTATTGCGCATGCCAAGTACAGTATCAATTAAAATATAAACTGATGTAAAAATTCAAAAATCCCTAAGCTTAATATATACCTTTGCACTCAAAAACTTCAATTTTACATTCTTTCCCACTAGCTGGGATTTTCAACTTGCAAGCTGAATTTAAATAACTTTATTCCTCATATATTCTTTTTACTTTTCTCTATCAGAATAAAAAACACCCAGTATTATTTTATAATTCAAGAAAGTATTGTGGAAAGTTCTGTAAATCTTATCTCATATACTTATGATCAATTTTACACATAACCTATCTTCTTTCCAAAAATGTTTAGTAAGTTTAACAGCAGGTTTCAGATCTGAAATATTCCTGAATATTTAATTTACATCATGTTACAGGAGAAACTGGACTTTTTCTAAGTATATTGCTAATTATTTTATTAAAAACAGCATACCAAATCTTATTTTAATTATAAAATTTTGAAAATTATATGTTTTGCATCTTGATACAGGGAAGAAATACAACATATTAATCAATATTTCATAAACATTGCAGAGATCGATCAGAATATGCCCATTTCTTTTACCTATTTTGACTACCAAATATCTCTTTTTTGAGTACTCAGTTGTTATTTTAAAAGTGCAAAGGTTATTAAGCTTAGAACATTATATTTAAGCAATGTAAAAAAGTTTTACAATGATTTAACATGACCAATAAAATTTATTAAACATATTTACATATATTCACAGATTCTTTCATATTTGAGTATTAAAATAGACATTTACAATTTCAGAATTTTCATTCAAAGGCATTTTTGGGGGGAAGAGGAGAATAGGCTCTATCGTGAGATGAAAAAAGAGCTGTTTCTTTGCATGACTAATTCTAAATAAAATGTCCAACATAGTAAGTCATAGGTACTATCCTGGGAGACTGGTATGAAACACCTTACACTACCGTCAGGCATCGCTATGGAGAGAATTAAATTATAGGAAGCATGCAGTATGGCTAAGTCACAGTCTCTACAGTTCTGTGATGGAAACAAGCTAACTCAGACACGCATGCCTTATTTAAAAGTCCTGCTACCTCAACACACTATCACTACACTCCATACCATACAAACTACAACTTTGGTCCTTAAACATTAGACAAAACAGTTTTACAATTATTTCTTTGTATACGTCTTGACTACCAATCCCTTTGTATACATTTTGACCATTAATTACAAGATTTACATCTGCACAATATGTATAAAATAAGTTATTAAAAAGGAAGACAATATTAAAACTTTCAAAAAGAAAGCTGTACAATTAACTTACAGATATAATAAACTGAAGAAATTTTGTGCCAAGTTTTCCTTCCACATTAGAAACTATTTGGTAGGAATTGAGCCTTTTAGTTTGCTGATCTGTTTTAGTAGAACTTGACAGAACCTCAACACCCGTGGTCACCTCGTACGTAGAGCACTAACAGCTTCCAGCGCCATTAGCAGATCCTCAGCTCCCTAAACATCTACCTCGTCTGCCAACGTGCTCCAACGCGATAGTCACCTTTCACCAATATAAATAATAGTTTTCAGTTAGAAACTGCTTGGATCTAAGATCCAAAATAATTCTTTTCATTTTTAATAAAATGACAGTGTTTACTACATCACCAACTTTAGTTGAACTTTACTAATAGCTGTGAAGGCATAATATCATATTTTTGTCAAAAGGCAGTATTCCATAGTATAATACTCTTAAGCCTCATTCATTTAAAACACCACCACCAGGAAGTCACGGCTGCTATATAGGAGTCAATTCAAAGTCATCATTCACATCAACAAGGGGAACGTAAAACTCCTGAATTTCATAAATGCTGATAGATTTATAGGTGGCAGGGTCAAGTTCCTGGAGTTTGAGCTGCCATTCTAACCTCTGGACGGCATTTAAAGCTGCAGCTTCATGTTGTTGCCTCATTAAAAGACAGGTCTATTTAAAAGAAGAGAAGAATTCATTGATTATTTATTACAATTGCTTTGTTTAAAAATTAATCTCATGCATTGTTTCTTTAGGGTGTAAGATGGATATACTAGGGTATGTGAAGCTTCTGAGTTACGCGTCCATTTCTGGTGTACCCTGTCTGTATCCATATGCCAAATACTTATGGACCCACAACTTCACACTCATCTAACAGACTTTAATTTGAAACTGTTCTTTCAAGCAATAAAATTTCAAATTATCGGAAGAATCAAGAAAATCTAAGGAAAAGTGATTTTTGAAATGATTCAAACCAAATAATTTTCTTTACAGATTACTTGCAAAATACATTTCTTCTCTTCTTGTTCTCCCCTCTTTCACATGTTGGAACTATAACCAGACTCATACACTGGATAACAAATATGAATATCTCCATTAGAAACTGCTTTTTCTCTGGTAGCTGCACCATGTATATGAAATTGGACCTGAAAAATGGGGGGTCTTTATCTTCCTTTATCTTCCAAAGTGCGACCGCATGAGGATTCACCACTAACTGGTCTTTCCTTTCCTAACCACTCCTCTCTAAACACAGCTACAGTTTCTGTTTATGAAGGGGAAGTATCAAGTTAAAGTGAACTTCTAAACATACATACCTTTAATTTGTCAAATTTATCGTCCACATCTTGTAACCAAGACATGAATTGTCTTGCATTAAAACGATCCCTCACAGAAGTTTTACTGTCATCAGACTGAAAGAAAACATTAAAATTGTTGGATATTATAAAATAAAATAACCTACTTTAAAATCTGTATGCCATTTCATCTTTTTATGGTATATTCTACTTTTAAAGGAATGATGAAAAGTATACTTCAAAGAAAGATAACATAATCTGAATATTTTGAAAATCTGATAAAGTATTTCCATACTGAGATTAGTTATTAGAATTATTAGGATGCCGGGTTTAGTTATTAATTAAATAGAATCCTACCTATCTGTGTGTCAAAAATGTCTCAGAAAGGCATGTCATATGAAGTGACATGCCTGTGACTTCTTATTAAAGCACAATTGATTAAGAAATTAATTTTAATGTTATCGTTTACCACATGTAGGGAGAAAAAAATGTTAAGGTGGGAGACAGGCCTTTGGGGCTGACATTTCTTCCAGGACCAGTCCTTTGGAGTGCTCACAAAGAAATTCTATACCAACTCTTAAGAATACCAGTTTTGGTATTCTTTTAAGATAGGCTATATTCAAACATCAGCTTTGTAGCTTACTGTGTAATCTCAAACTAATTACATACTCTTTCAATTTTCTATTCTGTGAAATCGGGTAAAAGCGCCTCTTTTAATCTTGTTTGAGAATTGAGAGTCACTAAGCCCTTGTTCTAACGCTTGGGCAATGGGAAGCACTGGGTCTGACAAACAACTGCTGCCGTTACTTCCGCCAAAGCTCTGACCACCAGCACCAGCGAGGTGGCATCCAGGCAACACAATCACACTACTCACATTCTTGGCTGTTACCACTTCCTCCTTGGTCTTCAGGTAAGACCTTTTGAATGTTTTAAATTTTATTATTGAACCTTTTTTATTATTACAAGTTTATTTTGAAAAGGAAGAGGTCCGATATGAGAATGGCTAAAGGATGGCCCAAGCCCCTACCCAAGGAAGCGGACTTGTTCCTTAGTCCCTCAGCAGCTATGCTCACCTGAACAAGCCTGCTCCTCAGTGGAGAGACCGTCTACCAACTGTAAAGCCAGCCGTACAAGGGTGGGTAACAGGCCCACAGTCATCCTCAAGACGATGACTAAGTTCTTCTGCCCTTCAACTATTAGGTGGCTTGTGGCCTGATCCTTTTTAGTCTATGATTTGGGGATCATTCTGAGGGTTTACTGGGAAAATTCACTTCTTTTCAGAAATTCTCTTTATAACCCAACTGGTACTCCTTTTTTTTTTTCAGGTGAGAAAAGTAAAGTCCAGAGAGAACTAAGTAACTTTCCCTGTAATATACTGCATATACTTCGTGTCTCTATAGTTTGTCTGATTTAAAACAGTATTTTCTAGTCCTTTTTGGTGATAATCCTTCACTGTCTGTGTTTATACTTTTATATTCTCTCTTATGACCAAAGAATTTCATTCTGGTTTATGAAGCACAAAAAAATTCTGAAAACTGATGTCTAGTTCCGAATTCACGTAATTTACATGTGGTAGTAAACTCTTTTCAAGCCGCAGCTACAGTTTTCCACAGTTGTGTTAATTTATCCCAACAACATCCAAGATCCAAACAAAGCCTGGCCCTCTCTCAGCACTATCACGACCTGAGCTGCACCTGTCGCCCTTTCTGGCTTCCAGCAGCTTCCACTTTAGAAGCAACTTACAAGTTATCTATAAAAAGCACTTTAGTGTGAAAGAGTTGTTTTCTCCTTTGAGCTTTACTGATTGTTGAATTCATGTTTCTTCTGAGGACCCAGATTACCAAAGGTGCCTGCTATCCTAAGAGCACTAAAGGCCATGGCTAGTCCTTTACCTGGGCGTCCAGTGGCACGCTGTACACTTCTGCATCCAGGAGAACAGTGCACGCACTGAATGGCAGTGTCTGATTTGCCAGTGTTCTTGCAGCTCTGTAATGAACCCGAAGAACTTCCTGTTCATTGGATACAATGAGTTTTTCCTAGTTGAACAAAGAATTAAAAAAACAACAACAATTCTTCAACCACTTGTTCTTCAAATAAAAATAAAATCACTTAGGGCTTCCCTGGTGGTGCAGTGGTTAGGAATCCGCCTGTCAACGCAGGGGACACGGGTTCGAGCCCTGCTCCGGGAGGATCCCACATGCCGTGGAGCAACCAAGCCCATGCGCCACAACGGCTGAGCCTGTGCTCTGGAGCCTGCGAGCCACAAATGCTGAGCCCGAGTGCCACAACTACTGAAGCCCACGCGCCTGGAGCCCGTGCTCTGCAGCAAGAGAGGCCATCCAATGAGAAGCCCGCTCGCCGCACTAGAGAGAAGCCCGCGCACAGCAACAAAGGCCCAACACAGCCAAAAATAAAAATAAAAAATAAATAAATTTAAGAAAATAAATAAATAAAATAAAATCACTTAAAGTGCTAAAGAACTTCAATCTCAGAGCAGTTTTTCTTTCACAGTAAGCTTGAGAAATTTGAGAACTCCAAGGGTTCCAAAAGTATAAGCAAATTTCCTTTCCAAAATCAGCAGTCTCTTTTTAAAAATCATCTTAAAATGTACAACGATGGCTTTTAGTATACAGTTGTCCCTTGGTATCTGCGGGGGATTGGTTCCAGGACCCCCACAGATACCAAAATCCATGGATGCTCAAGTCCCTTATATAAAATGGTATAATATATGCATATAAACTACACACATACTCCCATATAGTTTAAATCATCTCTAGATTACTTATGATACCTAATACAAGGTAAATGCTGTGTAAATTTGCCAGTGTGTGGCAAATTCAAGTTTCGCTTTTTGGAACTTTCTGGAATATTTTTTCTTGAGTATTCTGATCTGTGGTTAGTTGAATCCATGGATGCGGAACCTGCAGATATGGAGGGCCAACTGAATTCACCAAGATGTTCAACCATCACCACTAATTCCAGAACATTTTCATCAGCCCAAGAAGAAACCCCATGCCCATCAGCAGTCACTCTGCACTCCCCTACTTCCCCTGACAACAGCGACTCTACTTTCTGTTTCTATGGACTTACTTATGAACACTTCACACAGATGGAATCACATGGTAACCTGGTCTTTTGTGACTGGCTTCTTTCACATCACATGTTTTCAAGGTTCATCTGTGTTGTATCATGTATCAGTACCTCATTCCTTTTTTTTTTTCCTCATTCCTTTTTACCACATTTTTTTTAATCCATTCATCAGTTGATGGTCTTTTGGGCTGTTTCTTCCTTCGGGCTATCATGAATGAAGCTGCTATGAACACTCATGCTCAATTTTTGTTTGAATTTATATGTTTATTTCTCCTGGGTAAATAACTAGGAGTGGGACTGCTGGGTTATAATGGTAGTTTTATGCTTAACTTGCTGACAAACTGCCAAAATGTTTTCGATAGCAATTGCATCACTTTATGTTCTCCCCAGCAACGTATAGGGTTCCAGTGTTTTCACAGCCTTGCCCATATATGTTATTGTCTGTCTTTTTTATTATATCCACTCTAACTGTTCTGACGTGATACACCATTGTGGTGGCAGCTTCTCTTTTATAATGAATATTTCATAGCAACAAACACACTGTACTCTAATGCTAACTACAGTTGACCCTTGAACAACGTGGGTTTGAACCGAGCAGGTCCACTTATACATGGGTATTTTTCAATGAATACGTACGACAGTCCTACACAATCCACGGCTGGTTGAATCCATGGATGCAGAAATGTGGATACGGAGGGCCGACTCTAAAGTTATAAGTTAATTTTTGACTATGTGAGGGGTTGGTAACCCTAACCCTCATGTTGTGCAAGAGTCAACTGTACTTGTAAACCTCTGACAATCACAGTACAATCCTGCCTTAATGTGTTAAGTGGGATCCAAAACTTCCACTTATGTAATACACAGTCACTCTTTTGTAAGGTTAATGCCAATATAGGCAATCCTCTGCATTTAGCAGATGGGAATTCCTGAGGTCCAGCTGCAGACCTTGGCCCGTCTGGAAGGCTGGGCTGGGAGAAGACTAAACATGTGGCTGGTCTTGTCCCCACCATGTTGCCTATTCACCCCTCAACTGACAAGAAATTTATCCTTCCCCCATTGGAGGATGCAGGCCATATTATATCCAAATATACATTACCGTAGAGTTTTTCTGTATTTATAATTTAGTGAAAAGCTAAAGAGACAGTCTTTTTTTTTTTTTTTTTGCGTTACGCGGGCCTCTCACCGTTGTGGCCTCTCCCGCTGCGGAGCACAGGCTCCGGACGCGCAGGTCAGTGGCCATGGCTCACGGGCCCATCTGCTCTGCGGCATGTGGGATCCTCCTGGACTGGGGCACGAACCTGTGTCCCCTGCATCGGCAGGCAGACTCCCAACCACTGTGCCACCAGGGAAGCCCCGACAGTCCTATTTAATCTGCTATAAATTGTTATGTGATAAATGACACTCAAAAGAGAAGAGCTAAGTCCAATACTTATAATTTATGAATTTAAGTGCAAGTTTAAGGTGGGACTTTAAGTGATAAATATCCAAACACGTGGTCAGATACTAAGAAAAAACAGCTAGAAGAAAAAATACTTTCTAAAAAGTTGGCTGGGGACTTCCCTGGTGGCACAGTGGTTAAGAATCCGCCTGCCAATGCAGGGGACACAGGTTCGAGCCCTGGTCCAGGAAGATCCCACATGCCGTGGACCAACTAAGCCCGGGTGCCACAACTACTGAGCCTGCATGCCACAACTACTGAGCCCACGTGCCACAACTACTGAAGCCTGCACGCCTGCGTGCCCAGAGCCCGTGCTCCGCAATAAGAGAAGCCACCGCAATGAGAAGCCCGTGCACTGCAACGAAGAGTAGCCCCTGCTCACTGCAACTAGAGAAAGCCTGCGTGCAGCAACAAAGACCCAACACAGCGACCCCCCCCCCCCGCCAAAAAAAAAGTTGGTTGTAGTCCTGCAGCAATAAAGAGCAATAACCAAAAATCTTTTTCACCATACAAGAAAGAAATACATTAAAAAAAAAATCCATTTAGTTTATTTATTTTGGGCTGCGTTGACGGCTAAGAACCTCTGTTCTGAGGGCATTTTTCCCACAGAATATTATAACATTTGAATACTGTTCTAAATGAATGAACACATCTTGCAGCCAGAGCCCCTGGCCCCTTACCTGCCTCCCCAAGAGCCCCTGACTTCAGAGCCACCTCGCATCCTACCTGCCTCCCCAGGAACTAAGAGGAAGGCAGTACTTTGGGAGAGGCATAGCCCATTCTCAGAAGACACTGTTTGAGAGGCTCTGCTTAGGAGTTCTCATACTCCTAAGAAGCCTCTGGACAGAATGAGGGGAAGGTCATCTGTGAACCTGAATGGGAAAAATTACGTCTTTATTTTTGCTCACCTCCAACTGGCATTTCTTTCAATCATCAATGTAGGCCACAAACCACGGTGATGCCAGAAGTATTTGCAACTTTGTCATCCACAGAAATCACAACTATTTTCAATTCCTGTTACAGTTGTTGCAAGTATTGCCCCCAAGTTTTTATACTAATTTCTTCTTTGAAATTCCAATAGTCATTAGACCTGCTACTGTATGACATGTGATGGCAGCTCTTCCATGTAGAGACACCTGTGCTACACTACACAGCTGGCCAACTACCAAGCAGTTCTCCCCACTGTAGAACCAAATGGCAGAGTTGTTTGTTCTCACACTGGTCAGACTTCTAAGTTGCTTTCTAGCTTTCTGTAATTCTAAATTGTTTGCCCGTGGGTAAGTGGAAGGATGTGAGTCATTTTCACTATTCAAGTTCTGCAAATTACACAGTTCAAAGGAGAATTCTAAACTGTCTGTAAGGCAGCACAGCTTCTGAAACATGGTTAGATGCATAGATGAATATATACCAGGTGACTTCACACATGCCTGATGGCTGAAACAGCTATTGATGTGGGTTATATGACCTAACTTCTTACTGCTAACAAATCGCACTGACATGGGTCATGCACAATGTTGTAAGTTCTGTTTCAGTGCTTCTTTTTTTTTTTTTATTGCTTTTCTCTCTGTAGTGCTATAAATTAATTTTCTTCATTTAAAAATATTATTCTGAGGAAAGGTTTTATATTTACCAGATTGCTATAGGAATGCATGGCACAAAAAAGGTTAAGAACCTCTACCCTAGGAAATCAATCATGTGTGAAGGAATTGCATACAAGGTTTTGCTTGTATAAGAATATGTGTGTATGTCTGTAAAGAAAGATCATAGCTTACTTCACATTTTCAGAAAGTCCCTGACTCTCCCACAAAAAATTAAGGTGTTATTATTTTTGTCAGTCCAAGTTACTTTGATGATTTCTATAAATTAATTAGATAGGTTTTTCCCCGTCATGTCATGCCAAAACTAACCACCAGAAGCTGGAATATTAAAGCAGAACCTAAAAGGACCAATGAGCACAACCTTGGTAAGAGTCTGTACTACAGTAGCTGGTACCAAGCAAAATTTCCAAAGCTTGGAAATCCCAATGTCCAAATAGGAATTCACTGCTACAGTTCTGCAAATCTGGCAAATGATAAGGAATTATTAGAGATTCTTATATCAATATATCAAATACATACTGAACATGAATTGTTAACATGGGAGCAGCTATCCTAAATCAGGCTTAAAAATTCTCCATCTATTGCATGAGAACAAGATAAAATCAAACCATTTCCCAAAATGGCTTTAAATAAGGAAGAGTCACTAATAAAAAACTGTAGGCAGTTATAATCTATTGTTAAAATACAGTTATTTTTGACATAAATGTAAATGTAAATATTTCTTACCCTTTCAATACTGTGTTGCAAACGAAGTTTCATCCTTACAACTTCCTGTTGTCGAAAAAGCTCTTTAAGCGGATCTGACAGGGAAGGTGGTGGTGTAATCTAATTAAAAAAAAAAAAGTTGAAAACGTTAGATTTTATTTACAATATCAGCTATCCTATAAAATTAAAACTTTTTAGTGTATAACTTAATGAAAACATAAATTCTAATGTTCTTTGAATTAAATAATATAGTAACAATTACACAACTGATTGTTACTTCTCAATTTCAACTCTTTGAAACAAAGCAGAGCATTCCAGAAAACTTAGATGTTTTAATTCTGAGGCCGCAGCAAATTCCAAAGAGCACATTAGGACTAAGACAGTTATTTACCATACAGAGACACATTTTAGAGCATCAGTAAGTGATAGTTCAAAGACAGGGAGGAAGGAGTAACAAAAACACACAAAACACCAAGCAAACAGTCCTAAAGATGACAGCAGTCTGAGGGTATAGTAAGTGAAATCTCTCTGTAGACATGATAAAATCCAAACACTAAAGTGCTGAGTTTTACATTTAGTGAATTAACTTTTATAAAAATACATGAAATTGTCTTCTAATACAGTTGTCGTTTTCAAACTTTATTATATGTGGTAAACTCACTTTGTCTATCCATGCTCCAAAAAGCTTATGTTTAGTTCATCTCTAAATTGATCATTACAGTGAACTGTGCTTTCTGGTAGATGCTGGAGGTTAAGAAAGCTGACTCAGGGACTTCTCTGGTGGTCCAGTGGTAAAGAATCCGCCTTCCAATGTGGGTTCGATCCCTGGTCGGGGAACTAAGATCCCACATGCCATGGGGCAACTAAGCCCGTGCACCACAAACTACAGAGCCCACGCGCTCTGGAACCCGCGTGCCACAACTAGAAGCCCGTGCACCACAACGAAAGATCCCGCATGCCTCTGCAAAGATCCTGCGTGCCGCCAACTGAAACTCAATGCAACCAAAAACAAGAAAACAAAACAAAAAAAAAGAAAGCTGACTCAGTCTATGCATACACTCAAGCGTTAATATAAAGAGACATCCAAGTATGGCAGTAACTGTCTGTGATCCCTGAATATTCTCCCTCTACCTCTTGGAGTATCTCTATCCCCACCCCCCGAGCTTTTAATTACTGTCAGCATACTACAGTGAAGTAACAAAGGTTATCTCAGCACATTTTGGCACAGTTTAATAACTCTGGGGACTCTTCTGAAGCGGGAACAAGCAGATACTGTGTGCTTCCTGATGTGGTGCTACAGGGATTATGCAGTTCTATACAGAAAATACTCGTGCCAAAGACACGAACCTGGATCCAATCAAGACTCTATTTATAAATAGTAAATGGTTTATAGGAATCATGCGGAATTGTAAACATTGTCAAATAACAATCAGTTGAATCAATGCAGAAAATTCTACAATACCAATAACTTACTGGGGCTGATCATTTTTCAGGTCTCTAATTGCAGTAATGCATTTGATTTCTGTGTCTGTAAACTTCTTTAAATTTAATAAGAAGAGGCAAGAGTAGAGTTTGGTGCTATTATTTTAGTTTTGTAAAGTCATACGGGCGTCCTTCAAGCAGCTCAGAGGACAAATATCTACTCCTTTGAGACCGGAGTGTCAGAGAAAGCTTCTTTGAGAGGGTTATGCCTGAGCTCTATCTTAAAGGAAGAGCCAGAGTAAAGAGTTAAGAGAAATGAGTTGTGGGGAAGAAAGAAAGGGAAAGAAGGGAGGGAGATAATTCACACACAAGAGGACAGTATAATCACCTGCATGAGAACACTCTAGTATCAGGAGGCAACTGCAGGCTGTCCTGAGTTCCTGGAACATCAATGTGAGGGCAGGAAGGGTGGGATACAAGGGTGGAGAGGGCAGCAGGGCCCAGTAATAAAGCTTGTAGTCTGTTCTGGAAACAGCGTTTCTTCAAGCATGACCCACAGAACACTGGGTGCATAGAGATGATTTACCGGAAACGGTTCCAAGAACAAGTAAGTTTGGGAAACACTGTATATATGTACTTATTTAGGTATCCTGTAATTAGCAAATTAAATTTTAATAGTTCTCAGAAGTCCTACAGTTAAGAAATCTATTTATTTTTAGATAAATGGTGTTTCCCAAACTTACTTCATCATGGAAAACACCCATCTCTCCCTACTGGAGAAGGTATTTAATTAACATACTGTGGAACACGTATTATTTGTAACACATTAGGGTAAATTTTGTATGTAATGGGGAACCAGTGGAAGGTCTTAATAGCTCACTGCTATATTTGGAGAACAGATATTAGGGGGATGACATTGTAGGCAAGGAATTAAGGAAGCACGTCACTGTTACACTGGCGTTAGATGAGGAGGGAGTGGAAGAGATGGGGGTCTAAAACTGTGGGCAACTGACTGATTTAGGATAAAAAAGAGGGAGCAGCTGAGGACCTGTAGGTCCTTAGCATGAGGACTGGATGGCTAGTAATAGAGACCACAGGAGGGGACACAAGGAAAGAGAAGCAGGTTTGGGGGCAAGTTCAGTGCTGAAATGTTGAGTCTGTGGAGCTATCCAGTTAGCAAAAAAGAAGCTGAGGAGAGAGGTTTGGGCAGAATATATAAATTTGGGAATTCTCAACATATATCAATCTATAGAGAAGTCTCTATATGGAGACTTTTGAGGAAACTTTCCTTTGGCTGTTTTCCTCATCTACCTGTAAGTAAATCAGGCGTGGAGATTTTGTCTTTTTTAGCATCGGTGAGTCCCAGGAGTCTCTAGAACAGAAGCTTTCTTGACAGCTTCCTCGGGACACCCTTTCTTCTCATCCCCCACACCTCCATCCCTCTGTAGGGTTTCTGTGTATACCAGCTTGTGACAAGTCTTTTTCTTTTTTTCCTCCCCCTGTTCATTTGAGTTTTGGGAACCTGACCTAAAGTTTTATTTTTCTTCCCTTTATTTCCTCTGGAAAAACAGCAGCATTCTGGCTAAATTTTAAGAAAAGCATGTGATAGAAGAATGAACATGTAAGTGGACTCTGGAGACAATGTACCACGTTTATTAACAGGTTCTATAATCAGATTACATAGACAAAGTGAAGAAACCACTTTGACAAAAAGGCAATTAGCAGACTGAAAGGAAACAAATGGATAAAATATTGGTAAATACGAAAAGTAATGTAACAAAACAATTTTTGTTACTCTGGTCTTTATTATTTTTCAAAAACTAAGTTTCAAATAAACTAGTTTTAGTCCAATAAACTCAAAAGTACAGCTTTTTATGAGCAAAAGGTGGAGGGTTCACATATTAGCTCTAGTAAATGTGACCCTTAAAGTAATTTTGAGCTGGCTAAAATAATGGTAACCTCTTAAATCTGTACAATGTTTTAAAGTTTTCAATGGGCTGTGGCATATACTATTTCAACCTGCTTTGAGGTGGGGGAGACATTATTGTTTTACAGATATCAAAACTAAGGATCAGAGAAGTGAAGCGAATTCTTCAAGATCACACAGGTGGTTTGCAGCAAAATCTAGACAAACTCATGTATGCTACTTGGAAATCTACCACTTTTTCTACTACATTGTACTGTGTGTTTCTCTACTTTAGTAATTCTCATTAAAAACAAAGAAAAAATTCCCTACTACATCCAGAAATAATTCTAAGCTCTGTTTATAACCCCTTTTGAAACAACACTTGATTATGACTAAATTCTAATTTGATTAAAGTTATATCCCCAGAACTGCTGCAAGGGGATTAAACTTGTATCACATCATCTTTGCAGGAATAAGCAAAGCTGATAGTAAACACAGGCATGCATAACATATACACAAATATGCATCACGCTATATACACGTGTATACATATATATACGTATCAGTAGGCAGATAGTGCTAAAAGGGCAACCTAACACGGTTTATTAGAAATTGTTTTTAGTGAAACAGTTTGTAAAAATTTCTAATTTAAATGTGCTCTTTATAGCTTTACCTATATTTCAACCCTATGATACAAACATAGTTCAGTTCAAAGTTCTTATCCTTTAAGGAGAAATAAAGAAAAAAAGGAAACTATTAGCTTTATATTTTTTGAATCATTAACAAATTATCTTGCTGACAATCTGAAAGAATGACAAATTTATTTACAACTCTGTTCTTTTAAATCTACTACTGTTTACTATTAGCAGAGTAATATCAACATCTCTGTCCAAGATTTAAAAGGCACTAGCATCAAGGTATATTCCGTGAAAGCGGGAATAAAGAACCACCATTCCTCTAACTGTCTGATCTCCTCTGAGCTGGACTTTGGAAGACGGAACATGTGCAAAGGCAGGCTGTGAACCGGCAGGGAATGGCCTGGGGACCACCGAGTACAGCAGGGTAGTAACCACAGCCAAGCCTGCATGGGAGGACTGTGTATGCAGGAGTGGGGACTTAGCTTATAGAAAACTGAGTCTTCTTTAGAAGATGTTTAACCAGGTAGTCATGAATCAGATCTGAGTTTCAAATAAGGAATCCAGACAATAAGTAGACTGACTGGCCTAGAAGAGACTGGACTAGAACCTATGGCAGCTGCTCAGAACGTCTGTTTTGCTCATTTCTGATATCCAGTTAGCACTATGCTTAGCACAGTTATGAATTACATGCATATGCAATTTTTGAATATCTGATTACACTATATTCACATGTGTGATAATGCAGTAGTCTAAGGAGGTCATGAGGTCCCTGCATGACAGTGGTAAGAAAGAAGAGGGGAAAGGAAGTGAGATGAATCAATAGGACTTAGTGACTGATGTGACAGGAAGGAAGAGGGGAGGGTTGAGTTTTGGGTTCCCAGCCTGGGAAGTGAGATAACAGATAATGATGGTAACTGAAGCAGATGGAGCAAAAAGAGCACTTCTGAGATAAGATAAGCATGTCTGGTATCGGACATAATGATTTTAAGGATATTATGGGACATTCAGGAGACATCCAGAAGCAGCTAGACACATGGTTATGGAAATCGGTAGTGTATCCAGGGCTGAAGATAGATGTAAGACTCATTCTACAAGAGATCAAAAGTGTCGTAACCCTTAATTGGATTACAGCTCAGAGGCAGAGGCAGACATGTAAACAGTTAACTGCAACATAACAGGGGAGGTATAAGGAAGACACAAGCAATTCTGCTTTGACAAGACCTTGCACAGAGATGATATCATAGTGGGTACAACCGATGGAAGAGGAGAGAAAAGCGGGCCCGGCGAAAACAACATTTCGCAGAGGGAAGAGCGCTGCCAAAGAACCCAAGTAGTGAGACAAGAGATTCCAAAGAAGAGCTGAGTTCAGTTTGGCTGAAACACTAGGTGATTTGGATGAGTGGTGAGAAGATGAAGCAGGAGGGGTAGACTGGGGTCAGACTGTGAATGAATGATTATGCTGGGCTTAGATATGGGTTTTATGTTGTGGGCAAGGGGAAGCCAGCTAATCACAGCTGAGATGCTTCAATAGGGAAACAGCTTCTTATTGCTTTTGAAGGGACATAAATTTAACAACAAGAGAGAAGGCTCCAATAGAAAGAAACTAGGAGAAAAAAGAAGTGAAAAACCTGCTGCGACGTTGAGAGTGAGATAAAATGACGAGGGCCCTAAATGAAGGCAGTGGTAGAAGGTACAGATTCTGGAAGGTAGAATGGTCAGAATTTGGTTTCTACTGTGGGTGTCCTCACTAATAAATACAAATTTGTTTTTAAGGGAGCGGGTGATAACTCATTCCCTTTTGGTCTGTGTGAGGTCTGAAGTGGGAGTGGGCGTGTGGTTAGACCCTCTCCCAAAGAACGCGGGAAGCCCAAGGTCACATTCCTTCCCTGAGGGTAGACTCCCCGTAAGCAGCTCCAGCAGGTGCCCTGAGTCACTGTTGCACCTGCATTTATTTTTCACCCGCTTGCTCTACCCGCTTCCGATTCCCTCACACACAGACAGGGATTGCTCAGTCTGAGAGTCAGCTTCCTGGGGAACCAAGCCCACTACAGGTGCCTCAGGTCATTTAGGTGATGATGCCCAGGACGCACCTATATTTGAGTCTAGAGATCAACAGAGATGATATGGCTCAACAGAATTTTTTGGGACTAACTGGTGTGTTGAAGACTGCTGAAACCACAGAGACAGGACCTCACTGAATGAAAGGTGACTGAAAATTTAATTCCTGGAGAACTCTGCTGTTTAAGGAGTGGGTAGAGGAGCCATAAAAAGATAGAAAAAGATTAGTGAGGCAAGAGGACCAGAAGAGTGCACCGTCATGAAAGACTGGGCAGTGGGGGGAATTTTATGAACAAGATGGTCACGACATCAAATATGACAAAGATCAAGTAGAAAGAAAAAGGGAGAGGCCAAACAATCAGGCAATTACAAGCTCACTGGTGAGCTTTGTCAGTACACGTAACGGTGACGGGAGGAACAGGAACTGACAGAGAGGAGACGTCAGGCACACACCTCTCTCCAAGGTGCGGCAGTGAGAGAGGCTGAGCTAGACAAACTGTGACAGGCAAGGGGCAACTTTTTTCTCCCTGGGATGAAGGAGACCCAAATATGTTCACAGTGGGTGGATAAAGGCCAGTGGAGCGAGAAAATTTTAAAATATATTAGCAAGAAGTGTTTTCATGGAGGAAGGTTCCAGAGAAGACTGGAGGGAATGGGATCAAAAGCACATGGAAAGGAATTACCCTTCAGAGAAATAAAAGTATAACTCCTTAGGGTTGAAAGAAAAAGCAGGTAAGGAACGAAATACCATGGACCAGTGCTGTTTAATAAGGTAGCACAGCCTACACACGGCTACTGAGCACTGACTGACACGTGGTTGGTCTGAACTGAGACATACTGCTAGTCCACTGGATTTCAAATACTCAGCACCGGAAAAAAAAAAAAAAAAAAAAGATTACAGACTATCTCCATAACTTTTCTATATTGATTCTATTTTAACACTGAAATATTAAAACTAATTTTTGCCCGTTTCCTTTTACTTTTTAAAGTGTGGCTACTAGAAAATTTAAAACTATACATGACTTTCGTCACATTCCTAGTGAACGGGTTGCAGGTGTGTATCAAGTGAGGTTACTTACTGTGGGGATGCAGATCTTGCTTAAAGGGTTTCCATCCAGGAGATACGATCCATTAAACGTCACATATTCATCGTAATACTGAGGTGCTTGAGGGATAACACTACACAACAATTTGCGTTTTTCTTCGATTTTTTTCCTTATGTGCAAGTATTCAAAATACGGATTTGCTCTCTCTGAACTGTACGGCTGGATCTCGTCTAGTTTCAGAGAGTCCACGATGGCTGCCAGAGACTGCTGAGTTTTCTCTTTTGCTTGCAGTAAAGAGGGACTTGCTTGCACAGGCTGAGGCACACGTGACACTTTCCTTTTCCGTGGGTGGTGAATCTGAGGATCCTCCTCCTCAGTTAATCTTATTCTTCCTCTAGGAGATGAAGACTCAGTATCTTTGTCTGCTAATAGTGCACAGGTGGCAAGAATCTGTTTGCTTTGATTTGCTATTGTATTTGCTTTGTTTCTAGTCATCCTTTGAGGAATTTGGTTTTCAGTTTTATCATCTTCAGCACTTTCTTCTAATTCTACTTTAACTAAGTGTCCATATCTGTGCATTTCTGGTTGACCTGGTTGTTGCGAATGGTTTTCCAGACTCGATAAAGTACTCTGTTGTGATTCTTCATCTTCTATGGAAAGCAAACACTTTTCACTTTCAGGACAATGTTTTGGATTATCCTGTTCATTCAGGTTTCCTTTTGGCATCCCTGCATTCATTTCACATAAATCAGAATCACACTTATCATTCAAATGAGTCAAAACCAAACTCTCCAGTTTGTTTTCTTTTTCATGTGAAATAACCTGAATATCAGAAGTGCTATTTTCAGCCTCATGGCCACTGGAAGACTTATACATCAGTTTGCTAAATGCATAATGTGTATTTGGCTGGGAAGAGGCATCACTTCCATTAAAGTCCTTTTCTGATGGTAATACAGGCAAAGTATTAGCTTTCTCAAAATTCGGTGCTGTTTCTTGAACAGTGCTTTCAGAGAACACTGGGACAAAGGCATGTGTCTTCTGAACATCTGTTAGGATAAAAGTATTCTCCATATCTTTTGTAGATTCATTATCAGTATCTAAAACAGAATTGATAATTTGAATTGCATTTTTCTGTTGTAAAATACCTGGCTCTTGATTGGCAACATATGACAAAGATCTATGCTTAGAAATAGATTCAGCATCTGAAAGTGATTGGCTGTGAAAAGAGCAAGGTTGCTGTGAAGGGAGAAAGGATGCAGGATCCTGAGCACAAGTGTTTCCTGGCAATTCAGTCTGGTGCAAGGATACAAAATCAATACTCTGTTCTTTCAATATTTTGTTTTCAGAGTTACAAAAACCCTGAACAGAGGAATCTTGATCAGATGTAGTAGAATTTGGGCAGATGAAGTCACTGGCGCTTGACTCCCGTCTATCAACAGGTATTTCCCATGATTTACTTTGGATCACACCAACCTGATTAGACGGCTCTAGATACACAGGACTGTCCATCAAAGTGCCCACTGCAGCAGTGCTCTTGATACCATTTGTATCAGCAGAAGTGTATTTGCTGTTTACAGATCTAGTTGGAGAGGCTGCAAAACTGGAATGTGTGTTAGACGCACCTGAAAGTTCTCTTTCAGGCACATCCGAGGGTACCTCAGGTTCGGGAGAAGGACAGGCATCTCTTGGCACAACCAAGCCATCTTGACTGCTTTCTTCTGATATTGTTTGGAAGTGTTTTGTATGTTCGCAGATGACAGATGGCACGCTACACCTTCGAACTTCTGCAGTTGGTCTCCCCTCATTTATAACTAGTTTAGCATCTTCTACCGAGGAGGACCGGAGATGGGCTGTTGGAAGTCTGCTCGTATACGATGCTTTAATCCGCTCTGGTAGTTCAGCCAGGCTATCCGACTCCCTTTCATGAAGGGCAGGAGATTTGGCAATTGACAAAAACGGTGACTGGGAAAAGGACATTTGGGAATCTGAACCCTCTAACATAAAGTCTGAGTCATACTCCACTGGAAGCCTTGGGGTTGTCACTGTAGTATGGCAAGAATCTTCTGAGCTAGCCACCGAAATCATGGATACAGACCTAGAGCTGAGACCTGGCTTTTCACTTTCTGATCTAGGAGATCTGTTTAAGCTATTATCTGAAACAAAGGATGACTTGCCTAAATTCACTGTATTTTTGGTGTCAACAGATTGTGACCTGTTACTTACGGCATCTTTGCAACGTTTCTCCTTGGTATAAGCATCAGTCAACTCTGAACTCTTCGACCTAGTAAGTTCTTTATTTTTGGACTCAGCTGCTACATGCTTTGTTTTTTCTTTATCTTTTACTTTAAGTTCTAAACAGTTACGATTTCTCAACCGTTCCTTTTCTTTTTGCTTAATCTTTTCCTTGTGTTTTCTGTGCCACTGCTCTATTTCTAGGTCTTTAAGGCTTAGCATCCGTTCAAAGCTGGTCTGCATTAAGTCATCATTCACTAGCCTCTTTTCTTTGGGTCGAGTATCTTTTGATGCTGGTGATGACTTAGGTTTAGGCTTATCTGCTTCGGATTTTACTTTGAGTGAACTACTTAGTTGAACTTTATCCTTGTGTTTGTCTCGTTCTTTGTATCTGTCTATATCTTTATCTTTTTTGTCTTTTTCTTTTCCATCAGGAGTTCTCAAAGGCTCATCTTTTGTTTTTTCTTTGAAAGTTTTTTCATGTTGTGCTTTATTGCTGTCTGCTATACTTGACCTCCTCTCTTCCTGGAACTGTTTGGAGTTAGTTATATTTACATTATCTCTAGATTTTTCCTTTTTATCTACCTCCCTATCCTTTTCTTTATTTTTGCTTTTTTCTGATTTAGTATACTCAGTATTATCTGATTGTTTTTTTTTTTCCATCAAGTGCTTCTCTTTGCTCTCTGCAGGATGTCTCTCTTTTTCAAGTTTTTCTTTGTCATGTTTCCTATCTATCTTTTCTCTACTTTTCTCTCTGTCATCAGTTTTTTTAACAGTAGTAATGTTTTTTATCTTCTCACCTTCTTTATGGCATTTTTCTGTGTGATGTGAATATAGCTTGTCTTTTTCTTTTATTCTGTCAACACATTCACTAGGATCTAACCTGTCCTTCTCTGACTTATGCTCATGTTCTTCTCTTTGCTCTGCAGGATGTCTCTCTTTTTCAAGTTTTTCTTTGTCATGTTTCCTATCTATCTTTTCTCTACTTTTCTCTCTGTCATCAGTTTTTTTAACAGTAGTAATGTTTTTTATCTTCTCACCTTCTTTATGGCATTTTTCTGTGTGATGTGAATATAGCTTGTCTTTTTCTTTTATTCTGTCAACACATTCACTAGGATCTAACCTGTCCTTCTCTGACTTATGCTCATGTTTTATCTTCTTCTCTTTTTCAGAATTTTTTCTTTCAGCCTTCTCAACGTCCTTTTCTTTACTCTGAAACCGTTTCTCAGATTTTTCCTTACTTTCTTTCATATGCTTTTCTTGTTTTTCAATTTCTATTTCCTTTTCCACTGAATGTAACCCTATAGACTCTTCACTGGCACTTATACCTAAAGAACTGAATTCTGTTTCTTTATCAGTTGGTACATTCTCTCTCTCATCTTTCAAATCTCTTATTTTTTCCTCCCGAAAAGATTTCTCGCTTTCCTTTTTAATCTTTTCTCGTTCTTCTTTAAAGTTCCTCTCTTTGGAGACATGCTTTTCCTTGGTTGATTTATCATCTTTTATGTTTTTCTCCAACTTTGATTTTTTTTCTAATGTTAGGGACTCATGTTCCATACTTAAAAATAGATCTTCAGTTTCATCACTTTTAAAAAAATTCTCTTTCCAAAATTCTCTATCAAATTCCACACTCCGCTGCAGCTCTTTAGCACCATCCCTATTTTTGTATTTTTCCTTTTCACCTTCAATTTCTTTTTTATGCTTTTCTTTTTCCCTTTCTTTATGTTTCAATTTATGCTTTTTTAGTGTTTTACCCTCTTTATCCATTTTTTTCAGCGTGCAATCTGAGTTTTCAAATGTTGGACTGTGATCTTCATCCTTTATTTTGGCATTTGACTTTTCACCAAATTCTAAGTGGAAATCTTTCTGATGTTTGTTTTTTTCCTTATGCTTACAAGATTTTACACTTGAACTTTCTGGCAAGAATTCAGATTCTATATTATCATACCGAACAAGATCAGGCTGTAATGACATTTCAGAACTGCCTGGTGATAAACATGTCTTAGAATGTTCTTGTTTTAGTGGTGTTGACTGCTTTTCACTGAGTCCACAAGAATGTTTGGGAGATTTACCAGTGGAAATATGAAATAAATGTAATGAAGTATCATCTTTTGGGCTAAAAGATTTCCTAAAATTCCCCTCCTCTCTGGTCTTTTCTGAACAATCTAGTGCAGTATTAACTGTCAAGTTTGTTACTCTGGTATTTTCTTTCCCCTCTTTTTCTTGCTTCAGCTCTTGGTTCTCTTTATTTTTGTTCTGGTTCTTTAATTTTCTTTTAACTTTGCCTTTCTGCTTGTGTTCATTTGAAACTCCATATTCCTTTCTGGTCTGTATATCAGAATTCGATGTTTCAGGGACAGAACATGGAACAGAACACTTTTTGTTCTGAAGAATTTCTTCGTCTGAACTTTCAGAACTTGAATACAAAACCCTAGATGGCTTTTGTTTTTTACTTTTAAATGATTTAGGATAGAAAGCTTTTTCCTGTTTTGCAAATAAGCCACTCTTTTCTACTTGAGTCTCGTTCTCTCTTCTCAGCTCTTTCCTAAGAATGCGCCTGCCATCGATCATCTTGCTTACTGCTTCCTCCTCGTCATCTTTGAACTCATACTCATCAAGGGCACATGGAAGAGCTGCTTTACTGGGAACTATTTGTTTACTTTCACAGATGAGAGAGTCTTTCTCTGCCTCAGAGTCAATATTTTCATCAACACTGGAGGGATTTACAGACCGAGCCTCTTCAGAATCTAGAATAGGAAAGGAAAATCTGCTGTTAGTCAAGAGACAACTGTCAGAAAAGTAAGACTGAGAGAAAAATATAGCATATACATCAAATATTTCAAACAATTCAGAGAAAAAAATCATATTTATATGTAAATGATACAACAGCAATATGTAAGAACTCTGCTACAGTTTTGTGGAAAAGCCTTATAGAGAATCTGCTTCAGGATGACACCCTGTGACACTTCTAAAAGCACACAATACACTGGATTTACAACACAGATACCAAAAAGACGTATCCAATATTAAAATGTATATATAATATAATGAAGAGGTTCATAACTCAGGGGACTGGATTCAGGAAAACACTGGCTACTAATGTTATGTAAAAAAAAATGGTTTTTTTGGCTGTGCCATGCGGCATGTGGGATCTTAGTTCCCTGACCAGGGACGGAACCTGCCCACGTCCCCTGAAGTGGAAGCACGGAGTCTTTTAATCACTGGACCACCAGGGAAGTCCCCTATAAAATTTTACATATATGTACATTTTCTTTTTTCCTGGAGAGAGAATATTTAAGTAAAATTCTTTGATGCAAAAAAGATTAACAATCACTAACTTAAAGGGTTTATAATTAAGTAAACATCACAGATGGTTTTATATGCTTCAGAATTTTATTAGTAAAAGCATAAAAGAGCAAATGATTCCCATAAAGGATAGAACTTGAATAAAGGTGAATGGTTTTAACTATACAAGATACATGACTATCTGCTTTACTATCCGTTAAAAAAAAGAAGAAATAGGGCTTCCCTGGTGGCGCAGTGCTTGAGAGTCCGCCTGCCGATGCAGGAGACGCGGGTTCATGCCCCGTTTCGGGAAGATCCCACATGCCGCGGAGCGGCTGGGCCCGTGAGCCATGGCCACTGAGCCTGCGCGTCCGGAGCCTGTGCTCCGCAAATGGGAGAGGCCACAACAGTGAGAGGCCCGCATAACGCAAGGAAAAAAAAAAAACAAAAAAAAAGAAGAAATATATCCCCTAATTACACAGTCAAGATTATAACAGATAAATTGAATAGATATATAATTAGAAAAAAGCTATTTTATTCTTTAGTTTTTTAATTTATAGTTTATTTTCTTCCTAGTTGGGCATCTTTTCTTAGCTGAAATGTACATTGCATACATGGGGCCTCCAACTGAAAAGAAAACCCAGAACTCTAATTAAAAGAAAACTGAGGCCTCTGACCAAAAGAGGAAAAAACCAAACTCATTATAAAAAATAACAACACTTTTTTGGCTAAGTATTTAATAATATTAAAGTTATAAATTTATTTTAATACATCAAGCTTCCTCTAAAGTGATCTAGCTCCCAAATATTCTCTTTACATGGAAATTCAAATTCCAGAAGCATTTTAGAGTGTCTATAAGGTTTTGAGCACTGGAGAGGAGCTATGGAGAGATCACAATCTTATTTTTGCAGAAGATGTGGTAATATTCTAAGACAATACTATTATTAAGTGCCAATGAGTGACACGGTTATATTGACATGTGGTATAAAAAAGAACATTTTTGGAATTACAACTGCTTGTAAGCATAACTCCATTCCCACTTATCAATACTGCAATACAGAGTATCAAGCCATAGAACTTTATGCTGCAAAAAAGCAACAGCTGTTTTGGAAGTAGTATTTATTCTGCTCCTTGATTAAATGAATACAAGAATGTGTACTGATATGACAGGTGTTATTTTGTCTTATTGGTGCCTTGTTTACAATTTGTTCTTGAGGACTGTTCTCCCCTTGCCGTTTTTAGGAACTTGACTTTTTAGGGTTTATATGTAAGTATTCTATTTATATTATTTCTCATTAGGTAAGTTTTACTGGAAATTGGGAATGGCTTTTTCCTTTGTATATCCCACAAAACCTTAATTCGACACTTAGAATCAATCTTAAGTAAATATCTATTATGCTCCTCCAGGCACAGAGTGCTAGGTGCTACGGGTGACATGATGAAAAGAACAGAGTCCTGTGCTGTAACAGTTACACAACCTGATAATTGCTAAAATGGCAGTGGGCACTAGGTCCAAAGGGTGCACTTGGGAAAGAACTGGGAGAAGTGAAGGGAAGCGGGCTTCGGCTTCTCAAAGCACTGAACTGAGGCAGGAAGGATGTATAGGAAGTTCAGGTAGGCTTTGACAGCATGAAAACAACTATTATGAAAATAAGGAGCTCAAACCACAGCATGTCCCATTTAATATATGGCTTTTTTTCATTGAACAGTTGTAGATATTTTCTTTTGAAGTTGCATTTGCTTTATTACTGTTTTTAAGGGCTGCATATTACATGGAGTTAATGTGTAATCATTTAAACGGATTCTCCTGAGGGGACATTCAGGTTGTCCTAATTATTTGATATTACAGATAATAATTTAGAAAAAACTTTTGTATATCAGTTGAAAATAGCAGTATATAAATTTGTCTGTGTGTGTGTATGTAGGGA